CGCTCCCCCCCCCCCCCCCGCCCTCTGTCCCCCTCTACGAGATGAGAGCGTATTTGCAAGGCGCGAGCAGGCTACTGCCCGCAGAGGGCTAGGACGGGACTTGGGCCAGGCGGGGTGTGGCTGTCGACACCCTGGCAGCGTCCCCGGCCGGCAGCAGAGGGGGGCGGCTGGGGTGCCACCGACCCGGGGCCAGGTCTACATTCTATCCATCCGGACCCAGCTCGCTCCCCAAAAGGGCACGCACGGTGGCTCCTGACAGAAGCGCAGGCCCCCCAGCTGCCCAGACCCGCGCAGCACCCCCTGGGGGAGACAGCCGGCTCACGAGACCCCGGCTGAGGCCCAGACCGCTTTGAACTTTCTAGAAGCCGGAAGAAGCCTGAGAAGTCGGGCTGGCTGGCACAGGCGAGGCGTGGGAGGCGTCCCCCCAAATATTCGCTCCTTCACTTCCTGTGCAAACTCCCCGAAGCCTGCTGCGGGCGGGGGTGGGGGTGCACACGTCCCAAGGTCCTGCGGTCGGTCGGTCGGCGGCCCAGGACAGCCCCTGCTGGCGGCCACAACGGCGTCAGAGGAGGGCCGAGCGCTGGCCAGGGCGGGAGTTGGTGACAGCTTGTGGGGCCTTGAGGGCCAACGAGGCGTTTTTACTGGACGCACGAGAGTTTTGATGGTTTTTTTTTCCGTTGTTTTGGTTTTCGTTTCTGTTTGTCCAAATAGGCTGAGGGCAACATGTTCAATCGGGGTTCTGTGTCCGTCATTCTCCGGGCCTGCAGCTTCCTGGGGATTTGGCTCCCCGGGGGCATAACCAGGGCAGTCTTGGCGGTGGGTGCTTCTGTCCCCGCGGCCCGCGAGCGGGAGGGGACTCGCGCCTGCTGCAGGACCTTGGAGCGAGGCGTTTTCTGATGGGGAAGACCTGGACAGAGCACAGGGATCACACCTTATCAATTCCAGGCTTGTCTAACCCGTGGAAAACATGAAGGACCACAAGGCAAAAAAAGTCGAGATCGTCTAGAATCACCCCACTCACGGATCTTGGCGTTTCCTCCGCATTTATTGTGTTAAACAGCTTCACTGAGGTGGGACTGACAAGGAGTAAGTGGAATATACGGGACGTGCACGATCTGGAAGGTTCTGACACGTGTATACGCCTGTGCGGACTCAACAATGAGCGTATGTGCTCCCCCCCCCCCGCTGCTCGCGGCGCCCCTCCCCATCACCCCTGCTGGCCACCGGGGTCGGGCCCCGAGGGTCCCCGGAGTCCCTAAGGGGACATTGGCTCGTGTTGGAAACCCCGCGGAGATGGGCCGCCCCTCCTGAGGCAGGAGGGATCCCTCCGGGGACAGCGCACCCTCTGGAGGGCAGTCCCTGGGCCACCCGCCGCAGGGGTCTCACTTCACAGACGGGGGTGAAGGAGGCCGCCCTGCCCCAGGGGGCCTCCTCCGTCCGGGGTCCCTGGAGACTCCTCCCCCAGTGCTCAGGCACCTCAGAGAGGCTGAGGTGTCCCTTAGCCCCCCGCCACCGGGTCACCCCGTGAGAAGGCTCACCCCCGACCTGTCACCCCAGCCGCCTCCCCCCTGGGCCCCGGCTCTGCAGGAGTCTGGGCTCCTCTCCCTGCAAATACCAAATAGGCCACAGAGGATGGGCCCTTCCTGCCGATGTGCAGCCACACCGAGGACCCATAACGGGGGCTCATTTGAGGTCTCAGTGCAGCAGCCCCAGAGCCCCGATGTCCCCATGGGGAGCCCCGACGCCCCTATCTTTCCGGCTGCCAGTCGTTTGGGGGGTGTCTGAGGGATCCTGCCGCCTTGTGTGGCTACAGGCCACCACCCCCCCTCCTGCCAGGGCTGGTTTTCTGCTGTGGAGGGAAGGAGGGAGCTGTTTCTCTGAGCCCTCCCTGAAAGGACACCTAATTCCCCGAATAATGCACAGGCCCCGGAAGGCTCCTGCCCTGACACGCTGCCGAGGATGCTGCTGCTCCCAGCCCCCGCGCGCAGCCCTTTAAAAACACGAGTGATGAGTGATTACCTCTGCAGCCACGCGGAACGGAACCCACTGGGCCGCAAACAGCTGCTTTTAAAACTCCTGGCAATTTTAGTCGGTTTAAATAAAAATGTAAGGTACTCTCGTTCCGATGAAAGAAACCCCGTGAGACTCGTGTAAGAAGAACCTTAAGGGTCGTCCTCCCGGACGTGAGAAAGGAAGCTGGTTTCCAGATCCTCCCGCAGTCTGCCCTGCCCATCGCAGCTGCGGCCCGGCTGCCCTGGGACAGGACGCAGGGACAGGACGCAGGGGCGGCGGGGCGTGTGGAGGCCTCTCTGACCCCGGGGAGCAGCAGGTGGCTCCCGGAGAGGTGGGCGCTGAGGCACCCCGAGGTCCAGCCCAGACGCGGGCCAGGGTCCAGGCTGCCTGCCCAGGGAGGTGCAGCTGGCTGGACTGTGGCAGGGCCGGGGGCTGCACACGGGGACAGACCCCTGGAGGTGGGGACGGGGCTGTGCTCTGCAGCCCGGAGACGGCTGAGGGCACCCGCCCCGTATGCCCCAGGTGGTGGCGGACACCGCAGCAGGAGGGACTGTAGACGGGACCTGCCCTCTCCGCTGGGGACCACCCCCCCAGACTGGCTCTGCTGGACGGCGCTGCAGCCTCCTGCCCTGGCTCCGCACTGTCCCTGTCACACTCCCCCGCTGCTCACGGCAGTCGCGTCCCAGCCCAGATGCCCATTGGCCTTCATCCACCCTGAGCCTGACCTTTCCAGAACCGGCTCGGAGCCGGCAGCCGGAGCCCCGTGCTGCTCTCGCACGACGTCCACAGGCCTTCTGCTGCAGTCGGTGACTCGACGTCTGCGGGCTCCGCGTGCAGAGCTGGGGGGCGGGGAGTGCGAGAGGAGAGGCCGAGACCGTTGCTCTGAGGAAAGACAGCCGCTCCAGGCCCTGAGCGAGGCTGGCGGGGTGGGCTGGGGGCAGGGGACCCCTCGGAGGAGGAGGCACTGGCCACTCACAGGCCACGTTTGGGCCTGGGGTTCCCTGGGGAACAGCGTCTCTGGTGGGGAGACAGGCAGGGGCTGGGGGTGCGCGGGGGGGAACCAGGGGGGCGGGGGCGCGAAGAGGGGCCCTTGGACTGAGGCTGGACGGCAACTTGGGAATCCTGAGTCGGCGTCTGCACCCCGTGAGCCCCGGGGACCTCACCTGGCCACAGCAGGTGGGCTTTCTGAGGGGGCATCTTATGGGGCAGGTGTCACCCCTTCCCTGGGCCTGCCCAGATGGCCCTGGGTGTCCTCTGCAGCTGGTCCTCGGGGTGCGCTCGCTGTGCCGGGGTGGGCTCGTATGGTGCACTCCCGCCCGTATGTGCTCCGTGGGGCACACCTGCCTATGAGGGCTCTGTAGGGTACACTCACCATGCTCGTGTGGCTCCATGGGGCACACACCTGCCCGTGAGGACTCCATGGGATGCAAACCTGCCTGTGAGGGCTCTGTGGGGCACACCTGCCTGTGTGGCTCCATGGGGTACACCTATCTACCTACCCACCCGCCTATCCAATAACTAGCTCTTGAGCCCCTAGGAGGTACGTTCTGGAATGGCACTTCACAGCCTGCTGTCGTCACCCCATCTGTGATCCTCCATCACCCCCTACATCATCTGCCCTCTCCCCCAGGTCTGCAGCGAAAGACATGTCAAGTCCTCCACTGTCCTGTCCAGCGTCTTGCCTAGTCCTCAACCTCTTGGGACTGGGCATTGGCTGAGTGTGGGGCCCCAGGTAGTTGAGACGAGTTCACCAAGCCTACACCTCCATTGGTGCTGGGACCCTGAGTCAGCTTCTGAGCCCCAAAGCCTGTTGCCCCCTCTGGGAAGTGGACGATCACCCTAGGACCTGCCTCCAAGATACCTGTGCACGTGAAGACCTTTGGGTGGTGCTCATGTATCGTAGGGGCTGGAGTCCCAGCTCCTCCTTATTTTACTCTAGGAAGATGGAGGCAGGGGGCATGGGGCAAGCTCACTCAAGTACATACCCCCTTCTAGGCCGCGTTCCAGAATCTACACACAATCCGTGTCCCCAAGGTCGACCACCCTCTCCTTTTCCCCTGCCTTGTGGGCTCCCCAGGCCCGAGAGCTGCAAGGGGCAGCTGGGCATCCGCACATGTCCATGAGGCCCAACAAAGAGTCTAAGAGTTCCTGGTGTAGCCCTGGCTTCCCAGCTGCAGGCTTCATCCAGGAATTTGGAAAGGCCATGATGGTAGGGGTGCGGCTGGGGTGCCCTGCGGGCAGCGGGCCTGTATGGTCTGGGGGGCAGTAGGTGGGCCAGGCCTTGGAGAGGGAATGTGAAGGACCCGCCCCCTGGCCCTGCGTTGTCCCATTGACAGGCAGTGTAGGCACACGTTGAGCCTGAAGAGGAAGAGGAGGGAGGCCTAGGGGTGGGGACCCAGCAGCCACCAGAGCCAGTTGTGGGCTTAGGGGGAAATGAGTGTGTTTTGATTTGTGTGGTCCCTTCCTTGACTTTGGAGCTCATATTTGTCAAGTGAGAGCCGAGAGCACATTTCACATCACAGCCTGTCAGCTTGGTTTGTAACAGGAGAGGTGAGCTGGGAGCTCCTCGAGGCTGCAGCCTGAACCCCACATTCTGGCTCAAATCAGCCATAGGCCGGTGGCTTCGAGGCAGAGGAGAAGAGGTCCTCAGTGCAGAGGTCCTCAGTTTCCCCACATGGGACGTGGAGGTGCTGGGAAGTGCATCGGGGCCCGACGTGAGGATGGAGTGGCGCCTGAGCATCAGGCCCTGCGCCTGGCTCCGGTGGGCATCCCGCTCCTGATGGTCGGTGCCCACAGAGGGGAGTGCGATCCCCTGGCCCGTGCGCACGGAGCCCTGGGAGGCCCCACCAGGCCCTGTGGCAGCAGGCAGGGCCTTTGCTGGGTTGTGCTGGGATCCGTGAGCCCCAGGCTCCCTCTCCACGTGGGCAGGCCCCCATGCGGGCCCTGGGAAGACAGGGGAGGTGACGCTGGGGACACTCTCGTTGCAGTGCACCACCTCCTCGTGGCCACGGCCTGCCAGGACGCCGACTACGGCGCTCTCCTCCAGGAGCTGTGCCTCGCCCGCTTCAAGGTGAGCATGGAGGCCATCGGGAAGACGCTGTGGTGCGACTGGGCCAAGACCATCGGGTAAGTCTGTGTCCCTTGGCCGCAGGGCCTGGTGCCAGGAGTCTCTGTGAGGGCTTCTTCATCAAGGTCAAGGTGACAGAAGGTGGCCGTGGGTGGGGGACAGCCTACGGGTGAAGGAGGGCGCAGTGACAAGTGAGAGTGGACGGAGCAGGCTGTGTCCGTGATGACCGGGGCCAGGGTAGACAGTGGGCCTTGTCCGGAGGCGGCCCTGAGGTTGGAGGACTCTGTGTGGGCCGTGTCCCTCTGAGACGCTTGTGGGCCATCCCAGTGCAGGTGCTTGGGGGACAGCAGAGAGCTCCCAGGGGAGCCCGGCTTACAGGGATGCCACTGCAGGCTCCCACCGTCCCCGTGGTCAGGCTGAGGCCTCCTTCCCCCCATGCAGGCCTCCAAACTGCCTGGGATGAGGGTGCAGCCTGCCACTGGCAGGATGGCCCACGAGGCCCCAGGGACGGCTGGCACGAGCCCCTTCCCCTGTGTGACTCCAGTCTTCCCACTGGGCTGGTCAGTCCGCTGCCTCCCTGGGCCTCCGGGGACCCAGGCCCTCATCAGCAGGCCCGGGCTCTTGGCCTTCCAGAACCAGGACTGCGCTTCGGGTACCTTCCCTGGAGGGGGCGGCAGGTTGCTAGGATCACAAGGGCCTGTTCTTTAGGGTAATCCTCCTTCTGCTCCCGCAGAGGGATTGGTGTTTAAATTAAAGGACGCCTGTTAATAGGCTCCCGGGACCACACTGGGGAGCCCCTGAAGCAAAGCCTCTTCCTGCCTGTCCCGAATAAGCAACCTCGGACGAGTGTGGACAGCCTGCAGACAGGCGGCCCAGCAGTAGACAGGGTGACGGATGCCACTGAGGTCCCCAAAGATGCAGGGGTGACACGTTCTTAGAGATGGGAGTCGGCTCCTGCCCACCCCCTGTGGGCGACCAATCTCATTCGTTTCTGGGTCTTCCTTCTTGTGCTGCTTTTGCACAGGTGAGCAGGTGTGTGAATGTTTCTCTTAGATGCTCCTTACATGACGTATATCATACCATGGGTATTCTCTTACTGTGCTTACTACGCTGGACCATGCGGTAGATACTCTTATTTAAAGATTTATTTAAGAGAGGGGATCCCTGGGTGGCTCAGCGGTTTAGCGCCTGCCTTTGGCCCAGGGCACGATCCTGGAGACCCGGGATCGAGTCCCACGTCAGGCTCCCGGTGCATGGAGCCTGCTTCTCCCTCTGCCTGTGTCTCTGCCTCTCTCTCTCTCTCTCTCTCTGTGTGTGACTATCATAAATAAATAAATCTTAAAAAAGAAAAGAAAAGATTTATTTAAGAGAGAGAGCATGAGCCAAGAGGAGGGGCAGAGGGAGAGGGAGAAGCAGATTCTCCGGTGAGCAGGGAGCCCGACGCAGGGCCCCGTCCCAGGGCCCCGAGACGATGGCCTGAGTGGAAATCAAGAGTCGGATGCTCAACTGACTGAGCCACCAGGCGCCCCTGCGGTAGATATTCCTGTACGGCGCTATAAATGTTCTCATACTATTCTACGCTAAAGATATTCTTTCATCGTACTACACTGTGGATATTCTTATCCTATAGATTATTCTCGGACTGCGCTCTGCTGTAGATATTTCCTTTTTATTTAAATTCGACTTAATTACCATAGAGTGTATTATTAGTTTCAGAGGTAGAGTTCAGTGATTCATCCCTTGCATATAACACCCAGTGCTCGTCCCATCACCTGCCCGTCGCCCAGGGACCCCCATCGCCTCACCCCTCGTCCCCTCCGGCGACCCTCAGTTTGCTCCCGAGAGTTAAGAGGCTCTTACGGTTCGTCTCCCTCTTGGATTTCGTCTTGTTTTCTTTTTCCTTCCCCTCTCCTATGTTCACCTGTTTTGTTTCTTAAATTCCACAGAGGAGTGAGATCATAGGGTGTTTGTCTTTCTCGGACTGACTCACTTCGCTTAGGATAATACCCTCTAGTTCCATCCATGTTGGTGTAAATGGTAAGATCCCGTCCTTTCTGGTGGCTGAGTCATACTGTGTATAGACCACGTCTTTATCCATCATCTGTCAGTGGACCTCTGGGCTCTTTCCGTAGTTTGGCTCTTGTGGACGTTGCTGCTGTGAACCCTGGGGGACAGGTGCCCCTTCTCACCACTACATTCATATCTTTGGTGAAATACCAGCAGTGCAATTGCTGGGTCATAGGGTGGCTCTATTTTTAACTTTCTGAGGAACCTCCATACTGTTCAGAGTGGCTGCACCAGTTTGCATTCCCACCAACAGCGCACGAGGGTTCCCCTTTTTCCGCATCCTTGCCAACATCTGTCATTTCCTGATTGCTAATTTTCGCCATTCTGACAGGTGTGGGGGGGTGGTATCTTGTTGTGGTTTTGAGTTGTATTTCCCTGATACCCAGTGATGTGGAGCATTTTTTTCATGGGTCCGTTGGCCATTTGTAGGTCGTCTTTGGAGATGTGTCTGTTTACGTCTTCCACCCATTTCTTGACTTGGATTTTTTATTTTTGGGGTGTTGAGTTTGATAAAGTCTTTATAGATGTTGGGTACTAGCCCTTTATGTAGATACTCGTTTTGCACTTTTTTCCACCTACCAGTATATGCTGGAAGTCCATCCTTATTGGTGCATAGAGAGCTTCACCACGCATTTTTGCAGCTGGATAATTTTGCTCCGTGCATAATTTTCCAATTTTCCCAGCACTTCTCCATCAAGAGGCAGTTGGTTTTCCCAGCATTTTCCGATTTCAGGTAGTGTTGACAGGAAGGACCCTGCATGCGTGCGTGCTGTTGTTGGCTCAGCATCCCCAGGGCGGCTCCCTGGCGCAGGTCCACGGGGCCCCCAGTGGGAGGACACAGTACTGAGCACCACCTGTTTACCTCCAGGAGGGCGGGCAGCAGACCTAAGGGAGCTGCTTCCTCCACACCCACGGTGTCAGGCTGGAGTCCTTGCCGCCTGCTCAGCAAGGAACTGTGTCCCTGTGGTGTGTCAGCCTGCCTTTCTCCAGCGACCAGTCCATCTTCTGCTCTCTTTCCTGTGAACGTTTTGTTTGTGTCTTTTCCCATTTTCTGTAGGGTTTCTGGTCCTTTTTAAAGAGTTCTTTATTTTATTCTTTTTTTCAAGATTTTATTTTTAAGGAATCTGTGCACCCCAAGTGGGGCTCGAACTCGCCACCCCGAGAGCAGGAGTCATGCGCTCCGTCCCCCGGCCGGGCCAGCCGCCCACCCCCAAGAGTGCCCTGTGCTAAAGGAGACAGACCCTTGTCCGCCGTGCACGTGAGACCTGTGCCCCCAGCTCCTTGGTTGTCTTTCCACTTGATTCCAGTGTTTCTGCTGTGGTGTAACCTGTTTTCACGTGGCTGTATGTGTCGGGGTGTCAGTTACCCCCCGGCTCTGCATCACAGCTGGACAGCCCCTCCCCACGGGGGGGTTCGAGAGCAATCCACCCGTGGTTTCCACTCCAGGCTGTGGGTTTCAGGTGCCCATCCCAGTCTGTCACTGCTACGTCTTCATTCTGGCGTGAAACGCGCTAGGAAGCAAGTTCTGTCTTCCAGATGAGCTGCCCAGTTGTCCTGCATGTTCAGGAGCCTGTCTCTGCCCCCAGGGAGCCCAGATGCCACCCTGTCCCATGTCATCTCCCTCTACACTTTGCCCACTCCCCGTTTCAGACCTTCTTCGTATTCCCTGCATCTACAACATCAGTTTCTTCTCCAGAACCGTCCAGTGGGTCTTCACTGCCTATGAATGCTTACTTATCACTTGCCTCATTTTTTTTTAAGATTTTATTTATTTATTCATGAAACACAGAGAGAGGCAGAGACAGAGGCAGAGGGAGAAGCAGGCTCCATGCAGGAAGCCCGATGTAGGACTCGATCCCAGGACCCCGGGGTCACCCCCTGAGCCAAAGGCAGATGCTCAACCGCTGAGCCCCCCAGGTGGCCCTCACTCGCCTCATTGCAACAAGAGTTTACTATTGCAGCCAGCATTTATTAAGCACCTACTATGTGCTGGGCATTGTGCTAATCACTTAACATCTGTCATCTCCAGTAAGGACGCAGCACCCTCAGGAGATGGTAGGATGGTTGTAACTCCTACCTAATCTGCTCAGGGCCACATCTCTTTGGGTCCGAAGTCTCAGTTCTTGACACTCCCCAGGGACATGGGATGGCTCCCTCCTGATTCTCAGGAGAGGTGTGGGGATGCCCTGTCTTTATAGAAGGGGGAGGTGGATGACGGCCCCCAGTGGCCATCTCGGCCCCTGCCAGCATCCAGGGTGCCTGGTGGGGTCTGTTTGCACTGAGATACCAAGGCTGGTACTCAAACCCAACCAGACTTTCTAGAGCCTCCTGGAGCAGAAGAGGTCTGGGAAGGCTTAGGGCAGACAAGCTTGTCCAAATGATTGGGTGGAAAAGGAGAGAAGAGGGACCCAGAAGAAAGACGAGGCATGGCCAGGTGTGGAGGAGCAACGTGGATTGGCAGGAGGGCCACCACCGACAGAACAGAGTCCCACAGAGGACCCCAGGGTAGAGCATCAAGACACAGAGACCCAGGCAGCAGGCTGGTCCCAGGGGAATTCTCCAGCCTGGGGGGGAGGACGGCAAGCTGGGCAGATGTCTGACAAAGGGTGCAGGTGCCGGGAAGGACCCTGCCCTGAGCCAAGTGTAGCCACGGGGCTTGTTGGTGGGGCGAAGGTGGCACCCAGAGAGCAGGACTGGGCAGTGTCTGGGGTCTGGGATCCAGCCCTGGGCTGCAGCTGTGGGTGGAGAACTCTGAAGGCAGGAGGCCAGAGGTACCCAGGGCCTGCTACCTGAGGTCACGGCTGTCCTCGCAACTGGGTTGGGCCTGCCGGTAGCTCCGAGAGGGCAGCTGGGAGCTCCGGATTGCACTCCGAAGTCAGAGGAGACCTACCTTCCTACTGAGTGACAAATGTGAGGCCGCCAGTCTTCTGTGGGATACACACTCCAGACAAAATGGGGAGAAATGCAGTATAGGGCACTTGGGGGCTGCTGG